TTAAAAGTTATGCGCCGTTGTTGTTATAAGCAAGTAACATACCCCTATTATACTGGATGGGTTTTTAAAAAATATGGAGCTGCTTTGGACATCTTCTATATTTTGGCATCAATAATAGTAATGAGATAAATGGGTTTTAAAACATAAAATAAGTCTACTGACTTAGCCAATCTCAATAAAGGACCTCAGAATAAAACCCTCTTTTCTACAGAGATTTCAGTCGTGCAAGAGTCGGGCAGCGCGTAGCGCAGGTTTACAATGGTTCCGCTGCGAGAGAAGCCTAGGCTCCTTTATATCAACCTCCATTACTGTACGTTTAACCTCCTTGGGCCTAGGCCAAGAAGACCACAGTATGTTTCGCTTTCTCGGCCTAGGCCTACTCTGTACCTACAAAATACAATCATCACTAATCACAAAAAGGGGAAAAATCAATGGGTAAATATTCAGTACATATAATAATTTTACGAAGTTTTCTTTGCATTAAGCTTAAATAAGCTCTTTGATTAAACTTAAAGGTAGGATTTTTGGTTAATTTGTCTTTAATTAATTATTCTATAGATCTAGATGTACAATCGAGTCACGAATGCTCAACTGTGGGAGAGAACAAGCCAAAGGCCAGTAAAGGAAGATATTCAGGTGAAGAAATGGAAATGGATTGGACACACCCTGAGGAGACCCCGGACAAGTATCACCAGGCAGGCCTTAACATGGAACCCACAAGGAAAGCGTAAGAAGGGAAGACCTAAGATGACATGGAGGCGAGCGGTATCAGCGGAAATTGAAAAAGCGGGGACATCATGGAAACAGATAGAAAAGGATGCTCAGGACAGGCTTCGCTGGAGTAATGTTGTTGATGGCCTGTGCTCCACTGGGAGTTAAAAAGGGCAAGAGAGAGATAGATCTAGATGAAACATCACATCAGGTACATACAGCGTACATCACATAACGGTAAAACAAATCCCCACCTAATACATTGTATACATAGCATCTTTGATTGTACGTTATATAGATCTAGTTGACAGAAATTGTGGCAAGATATTCAGAGCACGTTAGCTTTAAAAAACATGTAAATGTAAAGCTCATATTTCAGTCTACTTTTAGTTTATGGCTACTTTGGATACAGACACATTTCAAACTATTGAGATTTGCAAATTATGTACAGGGAAATGGCGTTAGTTATTATAATTACATTTGCGACATTTTTGGATGCCAAAATCGTGTTCAGGGCCCTAAAAAAACCCCCATAAAAAGCTACAAAATAATACCCTTTATAAGACGGGAGGGTTTCTATAAATTTACCAATTTAATCACAATTTAGCCTACTAATATCCTTGGCCGAGATCGAAGAACTTCCAACACGAATACAGAAACCATCACAACAGCCATATCGAATACGGCAGCTGCCAGAGCCATGAGAAATTGACAAAAACTGGTCTAGCCGGCCTCACTCAAGTAACCTGCAAAGTGCACAGATCAATTAAGTAAATACAGAAAAGGTAAGGATAAAATGCATTAGGCTTTTGTTTACACGTAGATAAGGAATCAGAGCAGAGTTTTCAAAGACATTAAGTGAATAAAGAATTTGTTTTTCACTTTTTTCTGATGAAGAGTGTAAAAGTGCTGTTCATTTTGTGTGCAGCTGCAGTCTGCAGAGATCTAATCTAGAGTCTATGACCACCATGATTAGGCGTTTGTTTTTGTTTGTTATTTTTTAAAGGAAAATGATAACCTCCGATTAGTCTAACTCATTGCAAACAAGTGAAGTCTCAAACTGAAGCCCATTAGATGATTAGTATTGTAGACTGTAGAGATTGATTATGATTAACTTCGACGTAGTGATTAGGCTGATTTATTAGAATTAGGTTTTAAAGTTAAAGTTAAAATGACCTGAAGCTGCAGCAAGCACCTAGCTAGCACACTTCTGTGATTGGCCCAAATATAGAATCTAAATCTAGACATCTAGATAGACGTCTAGGTAGAGTTGGGGCGAGCGGACGGACGGGTTCGTTACTCGTGGACTCAGTCAGAGCGAGCAGGTTACGGACGGCCATGAGAGCGAACTGCGAACCTCAAAACAGTTCGTTTTTTTAGGTCCGCTCCACAATTTGACTCTCTCAGCGAGCGGACTGCGGACCTCAAGCCTCAAGTCAGTTCTTTTTTTGGGTCCGCTCCACAATTTTATTCACTGGGCGGGTGGGTAAACGGACGAACTCTAGCAGACGAGATACTCGACGCGAGGTTAGGCCCACGGTCTATTGTTTGTTAATTAGGCCTAATGTTTCAAGCCACTAGCGGTGCCACAGGGAGGGAGAGAGGCTGGTGACGGAGTACTTATGTGTGTAACCTTTCGGGGCCCCCTGTTTTCCTTTTAATTTTTCCAAAAACCCCGGGGGGGGGGGGGGGAGAGAAATTTCCGCCATGAACGCCTAGCTACAATGTGAGGCAGGAGGGTGATTTTTTAATTAATTTTTTTTTGAGGGGGGGGGGGGCAGGGGGTTGTAAGTTGTATGCAATGGAAGGAGTTGCTCCCGTCCGTCCGTCCACCTGCTCGAATGCATGGAGTTTCTCAGTCCGCCCGTCCGCTCGCTGAACGAACTGTTGTCTCTGTCCGATGTGTAGCGAGTAACTCTTCACAAGCGGACGGTTCGTTACCCCTCCGCTCGTTTGCGGGTAGTGCCAGCGAGTAGTTCGTTACTCGCGGACGCTAATTTTGCGAGCCTGACCCAACCCTACGTCTAGGCCTAGAACATATATCTGATGATTTTGCAGTTTTGTTCTTTAATTAAAGTCCAAAGCTGAAAGCCAGGGACCCTTATTTTGCCAGGTCATTGAGGAGTGAACTAGATAAGCGTAGGACTGGAAGGAAACACTAGAACTAGATTTCTAATCTAAAGAAACACCAGATAAAATCAAAATTTTAGCGAAGAATGGCGCTTTTTCGGCAGGTCACCCCCCTTCCCCAATTATTACTCGCCAGTTTTGGCCCCAAGAGTCAAAGAGTAAGGGGGTTTACCCCCCTGACCTAATAATAAGAACAGAATGTCTACGTACACGGTAACCGGGCACCTAGCCTCAGTATCTACGTACACGAATATTTGTCCTGTACTGTCACTTGTTGAAAAAAAAAAGAAAGTCATACAAGTAGCGTCTTGTCGGGCTCGCGATAGTGACCGGTCAGTGAACCTGTGCGTGCGCATCACATTGTGAGTACCGGTTGGGGTCACCAAAGTTCATTCAAAGTCTTGTGCTGCGAAGTATAGAGAGGGCTCCAGAATGGGGGGATTATTGGTTTTTTTAAAGGTACAGTCGGGAGAGGGCTGGGGATGAAGGCCACGCCGGATGACAAAAACTGAACTTGGAGTTCTGAACTGCCCCGTTACAGTGTACGTGACACTGAGACTACGTGCCCGGTTGCCAGTTACTGTGCATGTAGATATTGAGGCTACATGCCCGATTACCGTGTACATGACACTGAGACTACGTGCCCGGTTGCCGGTTACCGTGTACATAGACACTGAGGCTAGGTGCCCAGTTGCCGTGTATGTAGACACTCCGTAATAAAAATATGAGGGGGGGGGGGGCTGAATTTTACCAAAGATACTACACCCTACGGTAAGATGCTGCAGCTGCCTCTTTACCCCTGTAAAAAAAACGTAGCACACGTAAAATAGGCCACGCCCCCAGCGAGCGTGTGACTCAACCCCGATGGCTTGGCCCAGGGCTTGTTGGATAGAGTAGAATATGAGAGCGTCCTAGTTATTCCTACTCTAGGGCCCATTCTAATCGAGATCTAGATCTAAATAATTATATAGATCTAGCTACCAAACTAAAGTATTGATCAACATATTTCAATAATTTGTCTAGATCTAAATTATTTAAAAAGGAAAACATTAGATTAAAAAATAACCTCACTTCGGTAACGTGTGATAAGATCAGAGGATAAATCTAGTGTGCCGGGTGCATAGGCTCACGATCTACTAAATCTAGATCTAGATATAGGCCTAGACATTGACTATCACGAAATCTAGGCCTAGAATATATCCAATGCTATATTATTGATCGTATTGATGACAGGATCTTTAGGAGTATGTATTATTAGAAATCAAAAGATAGTATCAATTAGTATTATATATACCAGGGAACGCTGCAATAGCAGAATAGAGAGAGAGAGGGGGGGAGAGAGGGAGAGAGAGAGCGGGGAGAACTAGTAAGCTATTACAGTTAAAACGACAAACATGCACACAGAGAGAGAGATGAGTGGGTGACTGAGTGAGTGAATGAATGAGTGAGTGAGTGAGTGAGAGAGAGAGAGAGAGAGAGAGAGAGAGAGAGAATACAAAGAATACAACATAGAAGTATATGTCTTATTAACTCGCTCTCTCTTTTCTAAGGGCTCACGCTCTCCTAGCCTTGACAACAGGGTGAAAGTTTACGAGACACTTTCCCCAGTGACACAGTCACCTATGCACTTATTGGACCTTCGTTAGGTTCTTTCAATTTTCCTCAACTACACAGCTGATACCAGCTCATCATAGACGGTGGTGCATGGAATAATAATATACTGGAGGTGCTGTGTGTGCCCCTGAGATTTAAGTGTTATAAATCACGCCGAACCACTTTTAAGGCAACTTTTTCATTGGATGAAGATTAGTTCGAAAAAATTTGGAGGGGAAACGGTTTTGTCCCCGCCATCCAGGAGAATCTAGAGCTAAGTTAGAATAAAGATGCTCCTCGTTTGAATTGTTCCTAAAATACTGTGGCTCGCCGTGAGTATAGCAAAATCGTCACTGTTGAGCTCATAGCGCTTGATTTTTGGTAGTAAAGAAGTGGAACCTACCTAAGCCCCACCCAAATCTTGGTCCACCCACCGCCACTTGATGTTTGTGGAGGTGGTTTTTGTGATGTGCATAAAGATGATTTGATGATGATGATGTGATGGTGGCCGTGATGATGATAAAATGTACAGAAGTGTACAGAAGTGGTCAGGACATATGGTGTGCGCGCGTGTGTGTGTATGTGTGTGTGTGTGTGTATGCGCACGTGTGTGTGTGGGAGCGTGCGTGCGTGCGTGCATGCGTGCGTGCATACAAGTGTGAATGAGTATGTATGGTGAGAGAGAATTGAATTGAATTAGACTTTATTGACTTTCGAGGCCAATGGCCCATACGTCATAAAAAGTTAAAAATTAATATGCAAAATACTGATCTCTCTGTGTTGTGCTAAAGAACAAATTACATAATAACCTACAACACAGAAAACATACAGATCTATATAATATTTGCATCTAGAATCTAGTTCTACACCTAATGGAATGGGCCCTCACACAACTAAGTACAGAGTACAAAGCATTGGTCATAGTCAAGGATGCATGATTCAGAGAGTTTCGTAAACAAAGCTTACAGGCTAGACTCTGATCACTCTAGTTTAGCTCTAATCTAGACTCTAGATTTAAAAAATCAATTTGACATTGTCTTTCCATTTTTCGTCTTTTGGGAATCTGAAGAAAGACAATTATTTAGTTTTTCCTCTGGAATTAAAACGGCTGATCGCTGCTGAACAAAACTGGCCAGCAATGCCGACAGCATGAGTGTTGCGAGTCTCTCGCCGTGTTTGTTTACATACTGTCCCACGCTCGCCGCTAGTGGTGCTAGGAGTCGACGTGCCTCACAAAATTGGGCCACTGCAACATCTTACCGTAGGCTGTACTATCTTTGATTTTACCATAATTTGATGTTTTGCAGTTAGGTTGCATCCCTGTTCTTTGTGTTGCCCATTTGGTCATCAAGACTTCTGGATTTTTTCTCTGGATGTAAACAAATGGATCGTGGACTTTAGCGAATGGGACTACAAGATCACCAAATAAATATATATATATCAAGATCTATATCTGGATAACGTATTTCCGCCACCTATTTTTGTCACACACAAACACACACACACAAGCGTACACACACACACAGCCCAAGCAGTCCGTAGCCCATGCACACTTAGCGGCAAAGCGGGCCCACCATGGTGAAATCTAGTCAACTGGCGTAGACGCTTCCCAACCAATAGCATTTTGGCTATTCTTTTGGCAGCCTGATAAATAGGCTTTTGACTATTGCTTTGGCAGCCGGACGAATAGGCTTTTGACTATGGGTCCGGCAGCCTGACGAATAGCCACTTCCTAAAAAATAACACAAATTAATACCTAAAGAAACCAAACACGGCGAGATTTAGTCAACAGTTACTGGCGAGGGAAACCCAAGAGTCTTAGGGGAAACCCGGGAAGACGGCAAAATTAGATGCGGAAATGTGTCATCTATATTTGGGCCAATCACAATCGTGCGTTAGATGCTCGCTGCAGCTTCATGTGTTAAAATGTAAGATTTAACTTCTCTAAATTATTTTATGTTCTGACCCCCTAACCTGATCTAGCCCAAAATGGTTAAGTTGGAAAGTTTTCTGTTGCGAGTGACCACCCCAACAACAAACACAATAATAGAGAAAACACTCCCTAGACAAAGAATTTATAAATATCCATATATCTGGGCCCATAAATGCTCAAAATTACCCACCTTCACCCTTAAATGAATTTAAAAGCCAATGATGTGACTAAAACTATTAGAAAAAGTCTGCCCTGGTTATGTTCGTCTGCCCTGCTTATGTTCATCTGCCCTGCTTATGTTTATCAGTAGTACAAATGTACAGTTAATTCGATTTTCCTAATACAGCGAAGCAGTCAAAACACACGCACAAAACACAGAGGGGCTTTCGTGGTCCAGAAGTATAGTGTTCGCCTCTCATTCCATAGGTCCTGGGTTTGAATCCTGACAGCAAAGTGAAATTCTGTTCTTCTCTAAAAAATTAGCTCGTTTCACCTTTCCTGCTCTATAATCATGTTCTTTTGTCTGCTTTCATCTCCACTCGCCCACTCCTCAGAGCTCCTGACTCCTTCCGCTGCGTTTCTGTAGCTACTCACAATCTCCTCTAGGGCTACTGCTGTCTTTCAGCCACATCCTTGATCTCAAGGTAGATAAGATCGAACACCTTGCCCTCTTGGATGAGGGTGGATAAATCTCGGAGGTCTCATGTGCAAATTGCGTATGTTAAAGATCCCTTAGTAGTCGTAAAATTGATAAGAGTATTAAGAGTAGGCTTCGGCCGCCATCTGGGCAAAGTTCAAAATTAGTTCCTCTCCCAAACTGAAAATGCTTATTATTGTGTCCTGCAAGTTCATATGACCTTATGCAAATGTGGGCGCCGTACTACACTTATTACCAAAACACTTACACGTACGCAGGCATGCACACACAAATACATGCACATTCACACAAACTCTCCTTCATTGAATGATCAACATTATTTCACTATAAAAATGCTCCCTTGCCTGGTTGTGTGGTACAGTTATGTGAATTTTTCCAATTTGTACTTCTAAACTTACACACACATTCACTTTTACACACTCTTGTTCTTTCAGCGTGTAATGTAAAGAAAAGAGCAAAACTGTTGAGTTGTATTTGATAGTGTCAGAATGTTTTGTTTTTCTTTCAGTTTCCGTTGCAGCAAGACAAGACCATGGCTGCCAGTAACCCGCAAAAGGAAGAGGAGGAGCTTGATGACATGAAATTGTTTGATGAAATTATGATTGCCCCTCATAAGATCAAATACATCAATCCACGATACAAAAAGGTATTTTAGCTTTTTTTCTACTATAGTATGTTATAGTATGTATATTTTCAATTTGTAACAAGCGACGTGTCTAGTAGTCATATCAGTGGAATGGATTGGGAGAGATTATTTGCATGCTAGAGAAAGGTATAAGTGAGAAAGATGGGGAGAAAGGGATATCTTTTGCCAGACAAAGAAAAAAAGAAGGAAAGAGAAATAAAATAAAGTACCCAGGTACAAGAGAAAAATTACATCAATTGAGTAGAATGTAACTTCTCTGTGTACTTTTTTTGTTGTTGTATTTGAAATAAATGTTTTTATTATTTGTTTCCTCCAGGTGAATGCCAAAATGTACGACTACAAATGTGACATCAAGCTCAGTGTTGGGGGATCAAACTTCAAAGCCCATAGAGAGGTATTTGATCTTGCATTTTGTTCGGGTTTAGTCTTTTTCCTGTTTCGTACATTCCCATTACTAGCAAATCCAGGACATGCTACTCTAGCAACGGAACTACTCAATATAACGCAAAAGAACTCTTTGGAACTTAAATACTAATAACCTGTACTCTGTTCTTATACTGTTACTGGAAATATCATGGAAAGCCTATGGAAAGCCTCTCAGAAGTTTTTATGCCTTCAAGCAAAAATTGTTAGCTGAGGGTTTCAGTGCGATTATTTCTATCCTTTTCAATTTGATTCCCCACCATTTGGTGCAGGTTTTTATAAAAGTTGATTTGGGGGCGTGACTGGTAGGTTCTAGTATTTTTTATTTTTCTCTGTTGTTGACTGTCTGTCTTCCTTCCCCCCCCCCCCCCCCCCCCCACATACTAAATGATCATTACTGTGTCAATAGGCTACTTTTTATTCAAATTAAAACTGAACTGAACATCTCAGGTGCTGATGCAGGCCAGCGACTACTTCTCTGCCATGTTCAGCCATGACATGCTTGAGAAGGAGCAGGATGTGATCGAGCTGCTGGAGATGTCGCCCAACGGCTTCACCCTCCTTCTTGACTACTTTTACCACGGCCACGTCACACTCAACCCGGACTCAATAGAAGATGTGCTGGAAGCAGCTCGGTTCTTCCAGGTTTGAAATACATGTGGATTTTAAGAATAAGTGTATTTGTTGAGTTAAACTTAACTCTATCTGAAGCTGCATCTTGTTTACTTCTGATTGCATTAGTTAGTGGTGCAGTATTTATTTATTTTGTGTGAAGTAGGTAACATATTGCCAGATATTTCACTTGTACAATACAATGGTAGAGTAAATTTACCCTCAGGGATAAACTAAAGTCTTCTTTTTAAATTGCTGCCTAGTTTTAACTCAACTGTAGGAACAGTGGTAAACTGTGGCCCTACTCGGTGTACTTTCTGAGTCTTGAAAGAGCTCTTTTTCATGTCTTTACTATCAACATTCCAGGTGGATTGGGTTGTAGAAGTGTGCTGTGACTACCTCGTTCATCAGCTGAGCATCGACAACTACCAGACCGTTCTGCAACTGGCAGACAAGTACCAGCTGGGCGACTTGCGAGGGGATATCTTCCGCTTTTTGGGCTTAAATGTCATGCGGCTCTCAGAGGAAAAGGATTTCTTCCTGAACTTTGATCGTGAACTCCTTACCAAGTTCCTGAAGGAAGATGTATTTGTGGAGGCTGATGAAGAGTTTGTGCTAGAGCTAATCACAAAGTAAGTCGTTGGATGACTTCAGTGGTTTCTTTTGTTTTCTGTGCCAGTGGTTAATGGATATTTGTATGCAATGAATTTATTCCATTTTGCAGCATCATTTTATAGACAAGAAAAGGAACATTCTGGTAATTCAGGTCTGAAAAACTTTCAGAATTTTATCATTCTTTAAATCTGTTCTAGATATTAAATACCTGATATCTAAAGAGAAGCTTTTTTGAGTTCTTACGTCAGCGGAACACGAAGTGTTTTTAGAATATTTTCAGTTGGGCTTAACGGGAGGAGCTACCCTTGACAGCCATTTTCTATGTTTGTCGCCCAAGATCAAATCTATGTACACATATAAGTTAGGCGTTGTAAAATTTCTTTATACGCAGTTTTATTTTGGCATAGCTACAGCGGATGCTATGGAAACAGCCGCCATCTTCAAAATAAACAATGAATTTCAAATCCCTAAGGCTTTCTTATTTAGTGACCAAATTTGACCAAATTTGAGAGTATACCTGAACCAGGTCCAATTAGAGTAACAGCAAGTTTTTTTCAATAAGTGCAAAAGAAAAAAAAAGAGAATTTTCCCAAAGTATAAAAAACTTTTTCTAAATTTAGGTTGCGAAATAGCTTGCCAATTGAAAAGTGTTATTGTTTTCGCAAATATCTCTTTTTTACATTGCGATCTATGTTTCCTGGCAGTTTCATGTCGAAAGGATGAAAGCTAAAGAAGGAGTAGGGAAAAAAACTGCAAAAAATTTACATTTTGCGAAAAACGACAATTATTGTGAAAATTCACTATATTAACCCATCCTCATTTTTTCAAAGGCAATTTCCGAGGAGAATAAAGACTTTCTCAATTGTATCCATGATATTTTTTGACAAAAAACTGGTTGATCTTAAAAAAATCAGCCGACATAAATTTTGCATAGCCTGACCCAATATCTGCAAAATCAAGGGTCGCTCCTCCCCTTAAGATATAAAGATGCTCTATCTGTGTATGAAAAATGCCTTGCTAGTTTTGAGAGTCCTAATTTGTGTAAGAAAAAGTTTTATTTTATTCTTGAAGGCAAGTGGCTTCGTCATAGACCTTGCAGATATGTAATGTTGTAATTAAATCTTAATATGCTTTTCTATCTTATAATCCAATAGTTTTGTCTGTGAATGGTGGAAGAGTTTACCAGTTTTATAGTGTTTTCTTCATTTCATTCTGTTTCTTTTTCTATTCTACCCTCAAAGTTACTAGTGGTTAGATAATTTGTTGGGATTGTGGTCCAGACTTTCTAGTCATAAACGTTTTATTTCGTGTATTTATCGTTGTCTTTGAGTTATACAGGCAAGGTGCAGAGGGCCTCTATTTTGCCTTGTCCTGAGTATTCTTGAGCAATATGCAGTCATGGGTTTTGTTTCCATTTCCAGAGGAACCAAACAGCTACCTCAGTTGGTAAGGTAGCAAACCTTTGTTGTGAGAAATCCTCATGGGAGTCCATGTCTGAGCATAGATTGCTTAGAGAATTTTTTAACTGTCTTTATCCTGTCAGTTGGAGAGATGTGAGATGAGTTTGAAGGTGAGGCCTTAAAGGCCTAATTCGTGTTAGAACTTATTGAAAGACTGTGATAAAACTGAAAGGTTTTGTCTAAATGTTTTTTCTTTTCTTGCAATTTCCCCAGCTGGGTATCTGCCAAGCCTGAGGAGCGCCAGGAGTACTTGCTGCCTTTAGTTCGCTTGGTTCGGTTTCCGCTCATGGATGCCGATTCTCTGTCTGGTATCCATGGTGACCTTCTGAAGTGGCCTGAGGTTGCAGATGCTGTGGAGGAAGCGAAACACTACGCCAACGACATCGCGGGTCAAAGTCTCTTCAGAGGTGATGAATTTGTATAAAGACAGTGGGCATATTGCTTAGTTTTCCTTTTTTAGGTTGCAAATTTCAACTGATTCTTTTCAAAGCTTTTACAAGGAAAATGGGATTGGTTTGGCTGTCCAATCAAGAGTAGCAGAAGATATATTGTGCTGTCTGATTGGCTCACAACCACTCAGACCATACTGTTTCTATTTGTTATGCCTTCCCCCAAATGGTCTCCACCAACTGACCCAAACACTCTCTAAAATAACATTAGGTCAGAGCCAGATGATGAAATGGGGGGGGGGGGGTGTACTTAGCACAGTGATCACTGGTCCAATGCTGATGTTTGGCGTCTAAATTTATCATTAGTTAAGTGTTGTTCGTTGTATAATGGTTAAACTTTTCTCCATGAATGCAAAAGACTCAAATTTAGTTTCCACATGGTTGAGTGTCTCCATCTTTCTGCTTGGTTATAGTTTCCCAAACAGTCCCATTTTGACCCTAACAATCACCATCAAATTAACCCTCATCCTGCGGGAGCCAGGTTTATGTAGCCCGATAAGCCTATTTCGGCACCTCGCCTGCGTTCTGGTCCCGAGTCAGTGTAGCTCCTGGCTCAGCGCACTCGCAGCGCGCATCCTCTAACGTGTCATTCGGGTCCCGAGTCGGATCCCCATTCACGCAGGTCAAGTGTGTGTGCGTCAGTTTGCTTGAGTTTGTGTGCGTTTGTGGCCTTCTTCTAGAACCACCTGCGTTGGTTAGTAATCGAGGCATACGTCTCATTCAAAACATGCCAAGTTGATAGCTCTAGATGTTCGTCCAATGAAATTATAGAAGAAATTGACCCACTTAGACATGAGGAGCTCGAAAGGATAGTCAGGAAACAAGACTTCCATTTTTCTATACAAAATATTTCAAATGAGCTTGATTTTGTATGAAATGATACTACCTGATAAAAAATGAGCTTGTTTGATAGTTTTGAATACCCTTGTGCAGGTACAAAGAACAATTTGAGTGTAAAACATTCGGAAATTGACATAAATTATCCCTTTTCGAACCTCAGGTCAGTCATAACAACAAAAGCGTCCAGAAAGGTTATTCAAATGGGCGTAACTACTCGTAATGTCTTATCAGCTTGTGAGAGGGGGTTATTTATGTGTTTGTAACACTTTATAAATAGAAAGCTATGAAGGATAGAGCGTTATTTTCATCATCAGTTAACACACTCCCACAGTATTCATGGCGAAAACATACGTTTCCCGGCGCGCGCGCTGTACACCAACAGTACACACTGAGTGACCCCGGCGGCCTGCCCGGCATGTCTGACGTAATCGGTTGCTGATAAGATACGCATCTGGGCACAGACGCAGGATAAGAGTTAATGATGAGATCTGTGTTTATTGAGAGTGTTTACAATCATATTCCTTGATGACTGTTAGATGTGCAGACATAATAATGTCAGGCCTCTTTATTCCAGGCCCCCAGTTCATGTCCCGTGGAGCTCGGCCCACAGTGGCCATGCTCATTTTCACTCCAGACTACTGTACCGTGACCTACTACGACATCGACTCGGGCGCTCGCTGCCAGGAAGAACTGGCTTTCTCGGGAGAAGAGTCACAGTTTGAGTTCTCCAGCATTGCCAGAGTGGGTAACTTCCTGTATCGCTCTGGGGGTTACGACGAACGAGTGTGTAGCAGTGCCCTCGTCTACCGCTACAACCCACGTTATCGGAACTGGATACAGCTGGCCAGCATGGCTCAGCCGCGTGTTTCGCATGCTATGTGTGCCTCCGAGGACCAGATTTTTGTTTTCGGTGGGATCGAGCACACCGTTGGGGATATCGGAGATGAAGACAAGATTCTGTCCTCTGCGGAAGTGTACAACGTACGGGATAACGTGTGGCAGGACCTGCCGGAACTGCCCGCCGGATCGTACAACCAGGCAGCTTCGTACAGCGATGGCAATGTGTATATTAGTGGAGGTATCAGCGCTGACCCGTTTGACAGTGTCCCTATGTGCACTCTCTGGCGATACGACATACAGAACAGGTCGTGGCACAATCAACGCGACATGCTGTATTCTCGGCAGCGTCACTCCATGACCACTGTTGGAAATAAACTTTACGTGTTCGGAGGTTACACAGCGGCTAACGCTGGTCCCACTGAGGTCTTCAAGGACTGCTTCAGCAACGAAGTCTTCGACATCGAGACCAACCAGTGGACAGAAATCCGGCCTATACCGGAAACGTTTGGCCATGTAATGCGGACTGTTGGAGTCTGGAATGGAAGGTTTTTCCTGTTTGGTGGAGGCAGCCTCCACTCATACTACATCGATGAGGATCGGATGGAATATGGAGATTATGTAGGCTTGTCTGTGCAGAAAATAGCTGTTCTAGACGTAGCCTTCCCAACATAATGCCTATTTTAAGATCTTAGTAACACAATGACAGATCGATAACCCTGCCACTGTATTATGCTTGTTCTCTCTGCAATTTGTACAGAAGAAAATTATGAAGAAATTACTGTCTTATCTGTGGGCCTTTGCTGTTTGGTCTTCCAAAATGAAACTGAGCTTGATTCAATTTAGCCCTTTTGCAAATGTCAATGGAATCACAATGTGTTTCAACATACCCTAGACTCTTTCTGCTTATTGTTGTCTATCATTCCACTGGTGCTGTTTTTTTCTTTTAAGTTCTCCACAAATGTGATATGGGTCAATATTGTTGCTCAGAGTTTTCTGCTGTGTTTTATATACATATTATATATATACTTTCATATAATGTCCTTCTTTGAACAATTGCTATTCCTTATTTATTGATTTGCCCCAAGGGTGGGAATTATATGTTCACAATGTGTCTGTAACAAAGCTTTTGATAATACGGAGTTGGGTCTGAGGTTTGGTGTGTTCACTCTTTTTTCTTGTAACTTTTTAGTGTATGTGTTCAGGTTTTTGGGGGGGTTTTTTGCTTCACACTCATATATATGACTTTTCTGTGCTGATGGTGATGTCATACTTTACCATGACATTCTGTGAACTTTATCTGAGATTAAGACTTTGATCAGTTTTTAAATCACTGAGTGCAAAACACGTAAGATAACTCAAGTACGCACTCAGAGTAAAAAAATTCCAAAAATTTTGAGATTAAAATTTTGACCAAATTTATGAATCACAGACTGTGATGACAACTCATAAACCTTACATGCTTCTAATTTTTCCTTCATTACACCCCCCTCCAATAAAAAAATCGTCTTCTTTCCTGGCACACACATGTGCCTATTTTCAACATCTGAATTGGAAAAGTGAACAAATGAATTTGTTTGTTTTTTTAATTTATGTTTTACAGAGATAATGTGTGGTCATAATTTTGAGGTACTGTCTCCTTTACCTGTAGACTGTACGGAAAGAAGAGCGAAGAGAGTTTACATTTCCCTTGTTTTAAAATATCTCTTCTCACTTCACAAATGTCTCTTCTCACTTCACAAATGTCTCTTCTCACTTCACAAATGTCTCTTCTCACTTCACAAATGTCTCTTCTCATTTTATTCACGTCTGTTTCACTTTGCAATTCGTTATATATTGTTTCCTGCCCACCCAGTTGTCTCTGCCGAACATTATACTCGTAATTGATCCTGCCTGGTTCCAGTCCTATACTGTATTTCATACCTCTCTTTAGCGTCAAGCTGCGTTGGTCTTTCAATCTACAATTGTCTTCTTTTTTTTTTTTTACAAAACAAAGCCAATAGATGATTTGCTCCCTCCCTCATCAGTCTATTGTCAATCCCTGCTTTGCCCTCTATAGGTAATTGTTGAAGTGAGACCTGTAAACTTTTTGAGAGGACAGCCTTTTTAGGTCACTGAAAGCATTGTACAGTTTTTGTCATTTTGCAGTGTTACATGGTTTGTTCCCGATAATTATTGCATCCTCTAGGCTTTGCCATCCTTTTGTTGTTTGCTTTTTCCAATTTGTAATAATTATTTTCTCCTTACTTCATCCCAATTTTTCTAATTATGTCCCTTGCTCTTCCATGTGTGCGAGCACAACGTATTATAATTAATGTGTGCTATGTTTCTAGTTAAAAATGAAGTTTGGAAAATGGGTACCTGCTCCTGATTTTTGCCCATGTTTCTCTGTTGTTTAATTATTTTAGGCCCTTGTGCTAGTGTTGCCACGTCTCTCAACAATTACATTTTGCAAGAAGTTTCAAGTCAGGGATTTTTCTGTTTGAGGTTACGACTACTTTTATCTCTATGCCTCTAAGCGTGTGGTTTCGAGCACACCACTGGTAGATAGTGCTTCTGTAATCTCCATCTGTCATTTCCCTCATCTAGCCCTGCAGCTCTTTCCCAGCATAATGACTGTTGTTATTGTGTCAGTGTGCTTCTCTTTGCTCAAAACAAAAATGAAATATATAGTAACTTCCCTGTTTGAAGCACTCATGGCTGATTCAGTGTAGTCTGTTACTTTTATTGACTTGTTTGTCACTCACACCAAAGTTTTCCTTGATTGAGTTATGTCTCGTAGACAGGACTCCGCCTTATTTTCTGCTTTGCACCGTAGTATTCACATTCAGAGTTCTCTTGTGTGTTGATTTTGCATTCCACTGTTCTTTTTCATATGGGTAATTTCATTTTTATATCTTTTGTCTTGGGGGGGGGGGGGGGGGGGGGGGGCACTACATGTTTTTTTTCCCGTTCAATGTTTTCAATGTCCCAATGTGTCGTGGGTGAAATGTGTCCGTTATTGTGCTAACTCTGAGAAAACTTAAACTGCAAAAATTGTGAAGAGCGCATTACAAAATCGTGTGCCATAATTATCACCTCATTTCTGAGTGCACTGATGGCATTGTCTGTGTTGAACATTTAAAAAAACAACTTTAGTTTAAGCAATAAAGTAGAAGCGTGTGAGCAGTGTGTAAGAGCTTGAGTGGGTGGTCGGAGGGCACCTCTGGTAGATTCTACTTCTTTACTTTCCTTCTGTTGTTTTTTTCCATCTGTCTTACCTTTTCCCAGCACTAAATGACTTTTATCGTGTCAATATGCTTCTCTGTACTCAAACAAACAAATAAGAGCTTGTGCACACTCTTGTTGTTCTGGCCTTGATCTGTAGGCTGGTGATGACTTGTCTGGCCAGATTTCTAATTTTGTTCTTATTTTGACAGGACCCAATACTTTTTCCAGCCTCTGTTACCTTGCAATATTGGGGGAATCATCTGATATCAAAACATACTTTTCTTTCTGAGTCAGTGACATTTGGTTTGTGGAAGCAGCTGCCATTCAGAAGGCAACCATTTTGACAAATGGAGTTTGGAAGTCGAGGATGTAACTTTGGATATTAATTGCCTCTCTTTTTTTGCTCGAATAGTTATGATTGCGTGGCATGGGCCATGCTAGATGATGCCAGGTCTAGATTGAAGCAAAACTTTGGTCAGGGTTTGGTAAGTGTACACTGGTAGGCAGGCATTTTCCAAACCTGTAAGACAGTTGACTAGTTGTACAAGTGTACGCTGCTATCAAGAAGTGTTCCATCTTTTTTTTTCCATATTTTTTATCCATATTTTTTATATTGTTTTCGTCGACAGTTCATTCTTCTTGCTACTTATCGGACCCAAACATTGACTTTGTTTACTCAAGCTTGACAATGTCTCATAAACCATCAGATACCAAACTGTCTTCACCTGAAATTTATATGCCTTACTCAGTTTTATACCATACAAGAGATTGGTGGAGGCTCAGGTGTGGTCTGTTTTATTTACCTCTTCCTTTTAGTTTTAGTATTGTTTTATCATAAAAGGTGTTTGGTGAAATTTCAGCATTATTATACTCCACAGCTCAACAACTTCTTCATAGTGTCTTTTGCATGTATAATAATAAACACACACGCACATGCAGTCGGGTGGTTAAAGGGTGCCAATGTATAAGGTCCGACTATTTTACTTTCCCTTATCGGTTGTTTCTGTCTGTCTGTCTGTCTGTCTTACTTTTTTCCAGCACTATATGACCATTATTGTGTCAATGTGCTTCTCGTTACTCAAACAAACATACGTGCACGAATGCACACGTACACACACACACACACACATAAGAATGCACACTCTTGCACCCAGCACCCACATTCACCGTCCCACCTGTGTAATATTTTCTTTGTTGTCTCAGTATCAGACACTTTCTTACAGGGGAATCAATCAAGAAAATTCTTCACTCGAGGGTGTATTCAACAGTATTCAGAATTTTTGCAGTAACATCACAGCTTTCTTAACTTAGATGAGTTCTGAATGCTCTGAATTTGTGGATGATTGGCGGGTGCTCTGGTGTGGATTGCTCCTTCTTTCCTATAAAACATCTGTCGTCCTTATCTCTCTTCCTCCTTTTTTGTACTTATTACTCTCTTGTAAGGCTTTTGTCTTTGGCACTTATATGACCTTATTGTGTCGCAAGTGCCGTAAATTTCTTGCTGAAACTAAAGTCCTGAATTTGTTGTAGATGTCCAGAGAATGCCATTGATGCTTGCTACTTCCCCGCTATCTCTCCGATGTTTCCGTTCATCCGTCTTTCTTTGCTCTTACTCTAAAGTAAATGAAGAGTATCATGTTGATCTTTTATCTTTGAAAGAATATTGTTAATATTGTTTGGTTCAATATCCTCCTCTGTTATACAATTTTTTCTGTGCACCCACCTTTCGTGAGGAGATGGTCAGCTTTCTTGTGTATATATTTATTTTTACATTTTTTAAATTGAATAACTTTTTTAAAGAATAGGAGTGCAGTGAATTTTTATGAGTGCACCTCTGTTATTGTTTTGCTTGTTATTTCAAGTAAATGCTTGATGGTTGTGATTGAAGTTCCATGTTATTCAACTGTGATGTGAAGTCTTGCTTTTCAAAGTTACATCATCATTGCGTGGGCATATCTAGGGTCTATTTCGTGCTTTTGTGATTTCAGAAATGCATCTAAATTTGTTCACAATGTGTTCTTTTGTAAATGTATACTCACTTTTGTGGTTGCAACGTTACCAAATTTATGCTTTTTGATGTAAGCTGGATAAAGATTTGTTATTATTATTAGTTTTCCCATTTTTAAGAGGAAAAAGTTAAACTCTTTGATATGTTTGATTTGTGAGTCTATTGTAGGAGGACGACTAGATACCGCAAAGAGTTTAATTAAGAAAAATGAAAGTTCTCTTGAATGGCGGAGTAGCACACTTCATTTTACAGATGATTCTGTGGTTTAGTGTAAAGGTGCTGTTTTTACAAAACGATATTTATTAAACATTCCTGAGAGACATGATGAATTTTATTTTTATTTTTGGAAGAGTGAGTAGTCTCATGCATTTGGAGAGAAAAAAAGTCTCAACGCTGCTCCAATTTTAAAATTAAAATTTACACTTTAGTTATGTTGATGGTAAAGATGCTAAAGGGATATGATATGGATGAGCAAAGAGCATTTCAAAGAGGGGTCATCCCTCAGCTAACATTGCTGATGAAAAGAAAGACAAGTCGTATATGCTCTTACTAAGCACGTTTTGTGTGCTGCGCAACTTGTTTTGCACAGATGAATGTGACTGGTAAGAGTCGAAAGCATTCCATGAGGTTGTGAACCCTGGATATACATGAACATATGTAGTTAGTTTTACAAACATATTTTTATACTTTATGTTCCCTCTTCAATTTTCAATATTGCCGACTTGGTTTGTTTTTTTTTTTTTTTTTTTTTTTTTTTTTTTGATTTTGTATATCTGAAAAAATTACTTGAACTTTTTTTAAATACAACTTTTCTCGTTGATTCATGTATATTGAGCACTCCATGCTGAGCTTTTCTCTCATGAATTTCGCTTGAATGTTTATCTTTTTTTTTGCCTCTTTACATCCCAGATCTGATTATTTCCATATTAACTGTTTACAATTCATTTACACCCCAAAATCAGAAATACGTTCTTTTTACTACTGCTTTGTTAAATACATTTTGTATAAGCACTTGGAGATTACATCAATTTTGTTCAGTGTACATTTTTGTAAATTATGCAACTTGAAATGGATCTTCCATAGTTTGTGTATGGTCGAAGTTTTCTCTGATTAACTCACTTCCTTATTTCCATAAGCAGTTTTATGTTCTTGTCTTCTGCTTCTGGGTGTGAAACTTTAAGTCATATAAAAACATCACAATTGCCCTGAAAAAAAAAAAAACTTTAAGAAAATATATTATATGAAACAATTATGAAGAGATTCCAAATTTGTCTTTATATGTTTATTTATAAAACATGAACTGAATTAGGAACGTGAAGAATGTGAGCACATTTATAATGTTTATTTTTTCTTGAAAGGTGTGATCATGTACGTAGTGTTTCAAGTTGACCAACTGAGCTATACTCTTGTGTGGATACAGATTGTAATCTCATAATGATAAACACCGAAATGATTTCTTTCTGATTATGTCCAAAGTAAAATAAATTCTGTCTAATGTTGAAACTTCTCATGACTAGTACAGTTGATGTAGTTTCATGATTTCTATATATGTGCCTGAAATATTATGGGCATAATTATTTAGAGACACCTGGATTTTTTCGAATGTTTCAAAACTGCAGTGATTTTTTTCTGCAGTCATATATTCATAAGTGTCAGCTTTGAATGATGGAAGTTTATAAACACACAAGTGCACAAGCACACACACACACACACACACACACGCACACGCACACGCACACGCACACGCACAAAGCAAATGAGTGTACATCCTTTTTTTAAAGATCTATTATACAAATGTTTTGGCACGGGAGCCAGTAGGTTGATTGTGAATAACATCTGTCACAAGTACATAATGGTTGTAAAGCTCATTGAGCATGCTGAATGTGGATGCGTTATTATATATAAAAATGCAATTATGTTGTTATTATTATTATCATCATGGTCGTCATCATCATCGTTATTATTATTATTATTATTATTATTATCATTATCATTATTGCTATTATTTTTATATAATCATTATTATTACTTTTACCATTATTATTATTATCATCATCATCTTCATTATCATTATTGCTATTATTATTATATAATCATTATTATATTATTATTATTATATTAATAGTTGTCAATCATTGAGGCTGTCGTCTCAGCACAAATGTGTCATTTGTTTTACTTACTTACTCTCTCCGTGTACCGTCAGTTACGCAAGGCAGAGAGCAGTCAACGCCACGCTTGTCTGTCCGTGGTCATTTCCTCCAGCTAAGACACATCCAGGCCATGGGTGATCGCTTCATCTCAGATCATACTCCTATAACTGCCAGTAGTTGGTCTACCCCCTTTTCTTTTTTTCCATTTGGTCTCCGGTATATACCGTATATAATGTTTGATGGGCAGTCTTGTCTCTGGCATTCTCAAAACATGTCCCAAAAGTCTACACATCTTCCCCTTGTTGTGGTTTTATTGATATCCTCAACCTGAGCTCTCATCAACACTGTATTGTTTGCGCTCATGTGATTTTATGCAGTTGGGAGCGCTGTAAAACACTGACCAAAAGAAATAAACAAACAGCTATGTTGTTTGTGATTAATTCATTCCGTTTTATAGATAAAATATTTCGTAGACATTTTCTTTGAAAGCTTTTAAATTTCCATGGAATTGTACCATCACTCATATATATTTTTTTTGTTGGGTTTTTATCTGTACTGTGGGGTTAAAAACCATGATCTGAGCCGAAAATTTGTGGCATCCTCATGATAACTGGTCATTGACCATTGCAGATCTCAGTTTATTCCTTTTTAGTTTAGCCATAGCTTTT